TTTTAGAAGTTTTCTTTGAACAGTATTTTTTCACTACACATTATCGCCTCTCTCGATGTTGTCGTTCTTGTCACCGTCATTGTCGTCGCCGTCGCTGTCGCCGTCGCTGTCGTCATTGTCGTCATCTTTTATACAATCAATAGACAATTTAATATTGCATGAAAAGATGCTCAAGAAAAAAAAAATTTTGAATGCACAAGCTTAAATAATGCTGCTGCTGCTGCCGCTGCTGGTAATACGCTAAAAGTTGAGGGGTATTCGACGCCGTTTAACCACTTATAATGGCACTTATCATATGACAAAAAAAAAAAAGAAAAAAAAAGTTAAGTAGAAAAGCTGTATGAATATCAACAAAACGGCTAAGCGGCTTCCAGTTTAAAACTAAGCTGAACAACAAAAAAGAATGAATATTCAGTCAACTAAAATTCGGATTTAAAAAAAATTTTTTTTTTTTCTTTGGAACAAAAGAAAAAATTAGAGTAATAACAAAAATGCAGCAAACAATTCCCCCCCCCCCCTCTAAAAAAAATAAAAACATTATTATTCTTAAAAGATTAGTTAGCAGTTCTGTGTTCTTTGTCAGTTTCATAGTTTAACGTTGCCTAACAATTTGCTAGTTAATTGGTCTAGTCAAAGTATTGTCTAAAATAACTTTTGATAGCAGACGGTCTCTTATTGAGTGGTAAACGATAAAGACAAAATATGGAAGTTTTCTTCTTTTTTTATTTCTGCAAAGTTAATACTAAGATTAACAGAATAATAAAGGTTTTTTTAACTATAATAAAACAGTTTATTAACTAATCCATTATAATATTATCAACTGATACTTAGCTGAGAAAGATAACACTGAAATGACGATGACAACGACTGATAAAAATGATGATCGGTTTATCATAATTTTGTGCTTCTCATCAAACAGCTGTTGAAGTCACAGGTTTTTTGCTAATTGACTGCTCTTTTTTTTTCCAGTTAGAACAGCTAATAATGAAATACTAAAGAACTATTTATTCAACTTTTTTTGCTGGAAAAGAGTGCAAACAATGTTAAGAAATAAAAAAATAAAAAAGCTTTTAGGTGATATATCCTTTTAGCAGTGCTTTCAGTGATTACTGTTGTCAACAACACTTTATACCAATATGTCTGTGTTCGTGTCTTATTTTCAGTTTTCTTGTCAAATGTTCAAAAAAATATATTGTATGTAAAAGTACTCTTTTTTTTTTGTGGAACAGTTTCTTTTTCCTTTTTGCTTCTATTTTAGTCGTCTACAATATTTTTGCGGTTTTTTTTTTGCCATATTGTTTCCAATTTTTCTTCATGTACATTTTTCCTGCTTTTTCTTTCTAATATTTTTGAATAATGAACAATGGCAATGCCTATTTTTGGTGGCAGAGACAAAACAGCAGCAACAAAAAAAAAAAAAAAAAAA